GAGACAAGCAGGAGTGACACAAAACCCTGGGACTCCTTTCCCAGAAGGGAAATCCTTCAAAAAGCGAGTCTCGTTGGGGAAAGGTGGCAACCCTCGGTACCCATTGATGTGGTGTGTTTCTGCTTCATCTGACTCAAGGGTGTGTGCGTCACGCTGCTCAGAGAATAATAAGCCCATCTTATCTCCTTAGGGGATTCTGCACCTTTGGGGGATACATTATCCTGGAAATCAAATTAAATTCCCATTCACATCGAGCTCATCTCGCATGTCTCCACGGCCCGGCTCAGCAGCCGGGGGAGGAGACGCCGCCAGGCCTGGGCTTGGCGAGGAAATGGGTTTTAAGCATCTAGTTCAATTTCAACACTTGGAAATCATCCATCTTTATGAGGAAATGAAATCAGCTGATCTTTTACTTTGTTCATTTGAAGGCAAAGAGATTTCTCTGCATCAGAAAAGAGGCTTGTGACCTCAAGGACACCTGCTCTCTCTGCAGCTGTGAGGTCTGGGCGGCCGACGTGAGCATGAAGGGACTGTCAAGGATGGGCGATCTGAGCCAACAGCGGGGTCAGAGATGCTGGGAACCCCAAACGGCAGTTAATTTTAATTTTAATTTTAATTGGCCTTGGCATACCCTGGATGGCTTCTTGTGCAATAAATCCATCCTCCTAGTTATTAGCTTAATTAACCTAATTATCAGTTGGGCTAATATTTAAGTTGGTTGGTTTTCTCTAAGTCACTCACAGAACGAAAGGACCCACGAGCATGTAGAACAGGAGCACAGGGGCTGAGGTCACCCTGATGGGCCACTGGGAGTTGATGGGCATCCCCACCTGGATCTCAGGCACGCTGCTGACCGAGAGCCGTCTGGGGAAGCAGGGTTCTGGGTGGGTTGGGCCCCCAGCTTCTGCAGTCATCCTCCATAGAATTTCTGTCAATGATGAGGTCAGGAAGTGGCCCTAAGTCACAGGCCTGTGACCTCCCATGCCTCTATGTCCCTGTGCCTCTTGCCTGCAGTACCTTTAGCCTTAAACTTCACAGGACTCTCCCCACCCCAGACTTGATAAGTCCGCTCAGTGGTACCTCCTGCAGGCAGCATGCCCAGGGGGGCTTCCTAGTCATTGTCCTTGTATCAATACCACCCAGCACATTGACTTGTGGGGGAAGGACCTCAATAAATGTTTGATGAAGAAATGAATCAATTACCCTGCGCTTAGCACTTTTAACATTGATACTAATTGCCTGTTTTCTTATTTATCACTCCCATCACTGCGAGCCCCTTGAGGATAAGAAACTCATTCTTCCCTATGTCCTGGCTCTTAATAATGCATAGAAAAAGCGCTTGGAAAGTCGGCATCTATTCCCACTTTGGGAAACCGGGGTTTTGTGAAACAAGCAAGCTTTTGTGGAAATCTCTCCAGCTTAGAAAGGGTTTCCTCGTTTGTTATTATCGCTTATCCTCGTGGGGGCCAAAGAGGGCCCAGAGGTCTGAGGGAAATGGGTTCTTGTTCTCGCCGAACCCACAGGGAAGCTAAAGCTCATGAGATTACAGGAGCTTTGTCCATGAACGTGTGGCTCAGGGCCTGGCTCCGAGTCTGTCCTCCGTTCCTTTCTCACGGACAGCCATGGTGTGCTGCGTTTCTCATCCACAAATCCCCTCTCCCAGGGGCATCCTCTTCCCAGCGGGCTATGAACAATGTCCGTTCCAGGCTCCCCTCGTTGCAGTCTGAGGCTAAAATAAAGCGCACACAGCGGTACTAGTGTCAGAATGACACTCCTGAAAAGTGATGTCCAGAGGAGCATGACCTTCAGGGACAAGAATTTCAGAAACTGAACCGGGTGAGAGAGAGTGGTGGATAACAACTCTGCCGTAAGCTGGGCGGCCCGTTACTCAGTCATTGGGCACGTTATATAAAATGACAGGATTCATCCTTCTTTGCTGCATATCAAATATTCCCAATATAGCAGCTTGCACCAAAGGTAGACATTACTATTGCACCCAGTGTGGGAGCATCAGAACTCAGGAGCAGCCTAGCCAAGTGTCCTAGCCCAGAGTCTGCAGTGCCGCTCCAGTGGAGCTGCTGCCTGGGCTCTGCCTCCTGAAGGCCTCACTGGGGACGCAAGATCCACTTTCAGACGGTGCCCTCACGTGGTGATTGCTGTTGGTGGAAGGCCTCAGGTCCTCTCCATTTGGACCTCTCCCCATTAAGGACACTTGGGTGTCCCTAGGATGGTGCTGGTTTTGCTCAGAGTGAGTGACCAAGAGACTGCAAGTGATGTTTCAGGACACACCGGTCAACACTGGCTCCTTGGCATTTGAGGACACAGCCGAAGCAGAAGTTTTCTTTGCGCTTCTCCCAAAGCAGAACATAATCCCCAGCCTTCCTCCCTGAGGTAGGTCAGAAGACCCTCACTGTAGATGTACCCTTCCTTTCCCTGCAGAAAAAGTATGCGTTTACCCTCTGCTTTAAGTCAGCTTTTTTCACTGCTGGACTAAAAAGATGCAACTGAAGCAACTGTAAGAAGGAAAGTTTATTTGAGGCTCACGGCTCCCGAGGTCTTAGTCCACAGCTTCATTCCTTGGGGCTCAAGGTGACGCAGAACATCATGGAGGAAGAGTGTGGCAAAGGGAAGCAGGAGGGAGAGGG